CAACCGGGGAGACGGTGCTAAAGTCCTCTTGCCTCCCAAAGGCTTGTCCCCAAATCCCAATTTCAAGCCTTGAGCCATTCGTATAGCAACACCAACGTACATCCACGCAGCCAGTCCGCCGTTCGGCTGGCTCCATTTGTATAAGCCCAGCATGAGGAAAGCCTGGACACGGACGACAGTCGCTGATGTCAGAGCTGATTCGAGTTGTCCCAGTGCTTTTGTGAGAGCATTTGCGAAGTACTCTGACGCCATTGATGGCTCCGGCCTGGGCAAAGCACCGCGAGACTTTGGGCCAGCGATTTTGTCATGTGTAATGTGCGCCACATACTTGACCAAGTCAGGGTGAAATCTTGCAGTGAGAGCCAGAATGCCCAACAGGATCAGATTTGATTCGGTTGACGGCTTCTTAATGTCCTTGTCGTGAATGATGCCCTTGAGAGTTGGAAGATGCAAGAAAGGGAGTTCGGTAGCGAAATGCAGCTTATAGATGTCAAAGAGTTGATGCCACAGGTCAACGGTAAGATAGGGCGCCGAAAGCACTTCTTGAGCAAGCGCGGCGACAGTACGTCCATCGGAGGACGTTGCGTCTTCGAGCTTCTTCACTCGCTTTCGATCATGCCCGATTTCCCTCTCCTGTTTTGGCGCGGTTGGTGGCTCTGATCGCTTCGCCGGGAGAGGCGTTGGATCAGGGAACTCGCACTTGTGTCCTGCCTTGATACATGTGTCGCAAGGCGATCCAGTGTTGTCGTTGTCGCATTTGATTTTAGATTTCCTGCATCTCAAACAAGCTATGCTTGACCTCATAGGCGGCCTCATAGCTCTAGAGGGTCTCTTGGCACCTGAGCCTCCCGCCAAGGTCGGCCTTAAGTCATCGTCGTCGGGCACGACGGAGTTGTGAAATCTGGCCCCTCCCAGAGCTTGCCTATCTGAGGGCTCTGCTACAGCGAGGGGCGCGGAGGTTCTCTCCGATGGCGAAAATGTTTCTTGATATCTCCTCTTCGGCGTGGTGTGAGTAGAGGAGGCTGTGGGTGCGTCATCGGAATCCGACGCAGGAGAGAGTATAGACTGAATGCGAAGTTGGGAAGAAATTGTGACGGTTCGGGCCTGTTATAGACCCGCGAAGCCAGTGAGGGGTGGCGGATATTTGGGCGCAGAAACCTTGACGAGATACTCGGTGCACCAAGGACCAATGGGCTCCCCTCCTGTAGAACCCGGGCTGCGCCAGGATGACTGTGCTCGTGACAGAGTGACTTGGGGTAGGGAGAGCAAGATACGCAGAGTTGGACGATAATGACCAACGTTTGTCAAGGCGAAGCTAAGTAAGGCACGCCTCAAGTGCCACAGATGAGCTGGCAGTGGCTGTCGACAGCTTGCAACCGACGGGTGTTTGCTTCAGGTGGTACACGAAACACCTGCAGTGCGTCGGGTAACTCGCACTCCACGATAAGTGTCTGAACGAAGGTCAGGTTTGACAGGTGGCCAAGGTGTGATAACCGGGCAGACGTCGTCCTACTTCTTTGCTTGCTGAGAGAGAGAGCTCGAGAAAGAAGCTTCGGTGATGTCGGGTAAAGCTGGTATCTCGGGATAGATGGATGATGCGTGAAATGGTTGAATAAGCGAAGTTTGGCTTGTAATGGTGAGTCCGAATGAACGCTGTGCTGGTGTGAACATTCGGTAAAGAGAGTTGCCCTGCGGAAATGCGTAAATTAAGGTCGTAACTCGCAAGGAAATCAGGGAAGTGGGATTGGGATTGCGAATTTAATCGGGGGTGGATGTGGCCGACTTGAGCAATAAGCAATGAGTGGTGGTCTGAAGCTTGCGTTCCCACGAAGCAGTGGCCGGGGTGCAGGGAGGGTGGTGGAAGAATGGGTGAATTCTAGCCGGCCGTGCTGTCGGCCCCCAAATTGACTGTGTGCCGGGCGTCACCGGCTAACATTGCTTGCCCGCCTCTCCCTTGCTCGTTGTCTCTCATGATTTAGCTGACTTTGTCCCTCTGCTCTCTCTACTACCGAGAGGCTCTCTGGCACCGACTAGATCGATAGAGTCTGGAATAAGCATGTTTGCTTCTACCCCTTCGTCGCCGTCGCCCGGGCTGCTGGTTCTGCTAGAGTAATTCTATGGGGACACAGTCAGAACAGCATAGCAATACAGTTGAGTGAACCAAGCCTGTAGAAAAGGCGGGTGTGCCATCCGTATGGTGTGAATGCGCATGCTGGCCACACACCAGGCCCCATGTCTCTGATCAACCCCACGCGCAAATGGAATGAGGCGGGCATTGGTGGGAGGGTACGAGGGGTCGCTGCGGACAGCCCAGGTCAAGATCAAGGTCGGTCAAGCAAGGATGCTGGAACGATTTCCGGATAGTGCCAACCGGAACTGACGAGCGAAGCTGCTCTCCATCCCCGAGGGAAAGTACATTTGCATTCACGAGGGTCCTCGTTGGACGGCGCAAAAAGTCCCTTCGGCGCTTTCGCCGAATGTTCTTTGCATCTTGGGTCTGAGACTTCGAGGGATTCTTTGCCTGAACATCATTTGTGTGATATGCCCGAGGGATACAGCTTCTTGTTTGGCCAAACGCTTGGCTTGGGAGAACAGGACGGATGTTCGTACCTTTCTGATAGTCTGCCGTCCAGTGCCTTGTTCAGAATCAGCGGCACGTCTGGTCCAGATTTGGTATTCGGCCGGGCGGCCCCGCAAGATGGCTGGGGGGGCTGTTGTGCCCAATCCTGGCACATCGATCTTTATTCGAACGGTTCTAATCAGCGGGAAGTTGGGAACGGCTGTTGTGGAACATTTGGCGGCGATGAAAGGCGGGATATGTCAAAAATATCGTCATCAAGTAGCAATTGACAGCTCGAGTGCGACGTTGAACCATCGTGGAAGTGACTACACCAAAATTGCTTTCCAAAGTTCCAGTATCGCCGTGTTTTCCGCCATAGGTGCAAAGGGCGATTTGCATCTTCTGGACCGAATTCCCATCGCGTGGTCCACGGCCGCCTTTCAGGTTGACTGAGAGAGTCTACGGAGTACACCCTCAATAGCAAGGCGACTGGGACAAGGGACGGATGATCGGCGTGGCTTTCCTGCTTAGCTTTCGCCTCTCTGCAGAGCATGTCGGCTTTCGTCTGGCGTATCAAGGGAAAATTAGCCATGCCCACGCCCCCGCGCCAACATCACCTGGCTTGCTTGCTTGCTTGCTTGCTTCAGTACCTAGGTATCGGAGCAGGCATTATCCCGCCCGAGGCAGGTTCTCTTCGTCTGGGGACGCAGACGGCCGCGGATCGGTCAGCGGGCATCTAGCGCATTGACTCTTTGCTCCGAAGGAGACGCGGGAGTGGCCCGTGTTGTCCGTCAAAACAGTACAATGCTACAACTCCAAGGGGGCAGACCGGGGGATGAGATAAGATGGAGCAAAGCTTGCTGAATTCATAGCGTGCGCCGCAATATGGCCCGCGCCGCGAGCAACGTAGCCGAACAGCCCAGGGTTCCAGGCATAGGGGACCGCTGGCAGTGGTGGTGCCGATGCTGACCCCCCTTCAAAGCCTAAATGGCCACACAAAGTGTCCATGTTCAGGGGTGGACGGCGGCGTGTGCCTTGGCTATGCTTTTGCATTTCGGTCCGTGTCCCAGAATGCCTGGTCCCGGGTTGCACATCGACCGATCTCAGGTCGATTAGTGATGAAAGCGAGAGGTAAGGTGGCAACAGGCTAGGTGTCGCTCCGCCGTGCGTATCCGTATACCGGCCAGATCAGCAAGAGCCCTTCCCCCGGGCTCCGATCGTTGACATGGACATTGCATTTGACAAGTCAGAGGATGGTAAACATGGCCCTATGAGGTGAACCCAAAAAGAAAGCAGTCGGCAGTCCAAATTTGGTATGCCTCCACCAGCAATCAGCCGAGCAGATTCCAACGACGATGATCCGAATTAGCGCCGTACTCTGGACGTTTTACTGAAGACGCAGGCGACGAATGTTGCATGGGTTTAGTGTCTTGTTCAGACTCTCAGAGTTTGTACACGCTATTTTGGTCGAGAGTGTGGGAACATGGTAGCGACGCAACAATACTCTGTAGGCGCGAAGCATGTAAGGATGGATGGAACCAGACAAGGTTTGCCGAGCTGCCATGTCCGAAATATCGAGGTTCGTGGGATGGCACCTTGGGATGCGGATAAGCCCGCAGAAAGGACCCCCGGTCGCTTGAAGGTTCTCCATTTGCTTGGCCCAACTCGGCCCAACTTGCAGGCAGGTGATAGAAAGGCCAAGCAGCGTCTGCGTTTGAATGTCTCTGCTCCCATAAGGTGCGGTGTAGTGTCTCTCACAGTTAGGCGTAAGTAGAGACAAGAAGAGTCTCTTGGTGAATGGGCGGAATGGTTCGGAGCTGGCTGCGACCCAATCATTGTAAAGGACGTACGATTCCGGGACGAGTTTGTGCCAGAGACAATGCTGCTTGGTATGTCTCGCGGGGGGGATCGGTTGTTACACGAGAAACGAGACAGAGAATGCCAGTGGAGGCGACGCGCCATGCCTCTCACCCGAATAGGCATTAGTCGACTCTTTGGCAGTAAGGGGACTAGAAAGACATGCCGCCATGGTGGGCGGGTGTCGCGGATCGAGGGGGAGAAGGGAGAAAACATTAAGAGCGCACGACTTGCAGGTGGTTGTGAATGCTGGATGGCCGATACGTACCTCTTCCTTGTCCCGTCACCCCGTGGAGTTGAAGTACCTCGGTGTACGTACCGTCTGACTAAGAGAACATGTAAGTCAGCCAGGGCAGGCACCTCACGCCAGGCAGGGCAGTCGGAGCCGACAACAGGTGGAAAGCCAATTATTACTATGTAGGCAGGTTCGATGCGGAAGGGACAGGCCCTGCCAGCTGAAGGCCGTTTCCGTGTAACCCCAGGGAACACCACTCGTTGCTCACGTGGTACAAAAGCGGGGCAACTCTAAGCTGGCAAGCTGGACCTCTCGAAGCTCTCCTCACCTCACCTCATCCCACCCCTCACGCCTTCTGTGGTCTCCCCTCTTCAAAGTCGAGCTCTTACACTAAAAGTCAGCCAGCCATCTTAGGGTACCAAGCAACATCCATGAATGTGTGCTTTCAGCTCTTACTTCCGACATCCCCGACCATTCCCAGTATCTCATCGAAGGGGCAGCTGGAGGGCTGATTGTGCCTCTAAGTAGCAGCAGTATGCAAGCCAGCCCGCGCTCTTCGGAGATCGTCCGTAATAGTAAAGTAATGTCTGACCGCCCCTTCATCCCGATGCCATCAGTGAAAGACAGCTTTCAATGGTGTCTAGGGTCTGCATCCCACGGTCACCACCCATGAACAGGCATGCAGGTCATTGCCCCCAGGTTCCTCCTCCCCATGTCCTTCCTAGACGTACCAGCACGGTACGAAAACATCCTTGGCTCCGTAGACATCCCAGAAAGTCCGGGACCGAGAAGACGACCATTGCCTCCCATGGTCGGGCCGCCTTGCGCCGCAATCCAACGAGGGCTGAAGGGTGTATCTGCACGCCATATATCGGATACCACTGATGCCCGGTGAGGGGAAACCGCTGGGTTAAGGGCGGCAGGACTACGTTCTGGCCTAGGTACAGATAGGTACGGAGTACGCGCTTCCTTCAGATATGTCTTCGTATGTCTCACTCTGTCCGCATCCTGGTACCTAAGCATTCGCCCTATCAACCTTGAGCATGTACAATATAGTCATGGCAAAGTAGGTTGATTTTGTTATTCAGGCCGCCTTGGCAAGGGCCCAGCAACGTGGATGCGCTCCGTCTACTTGACACAAGTGAGGTAAGGGAGGAAAAGATACCGACTTGCAGGGAAAGAGCCAACCAGTTCCCGCCACGGGTGAACTCATTTCTTCCTGCAGTCGATCGATGGTTCGATCCTATGATAGACCTGTCCTGCCCAGTAAATCTTCGTCGAAGCCTTCCCTAACATTCTTTCGTGAGATATCTCTACCTGCCGCCAACGCCTTTCGAGCAGTCTCGTCAACTCCACCATACTCCTTCCCCGAACCTCAGAAACGCCCGACAAGTGTCCTCAATGCAAATGCAATCACTTCTTTCTACATCCTACTCACCCCGGAGCTGGATTTCTTTCAACCCTCTTTCACATGGCTCGAGGTAGTCGAGAGAATCACTCGCAAGCACGTTGCTGTCTACTCTTCTCGTCGGCAACCCTCCTAGATTCTCCCCGAAACTCAGCGGCCGCTATATCGGTTGCATCGGGCAGCCAGGATTCCAGATCACTCAAGAAACTACTCTTTCAAGCATTAATTTTCATGCAAGTCTCTCAAGACCAAAAGGTAGGAAGAGGACCCTCAAGACGGCAGCTGTCTAGCCCAGCCACGGATGGCTTACATCCCTGCATCCCTAATGTCTCATGAGTTACCAGACGTCATTCCCAGGCATTTTCAGCCCTCCAGCGAGCGACCGCATAGCTCCAACTGGGCAAGCGAGGGAACGGATTGGCCTCTCTCGCGTACCTAATACGAGAGGCCTTCCGGACCGATCGTTGCCAAGTTTACCGAATTGGTGGGAAAAGGCGCCATTAAAGTTAAGACAAGCAAGTGAGCCTCTGCCCGTTTTCCCTCATGCCCTCCGCAAAACACAACTGAACCCACAAGACACTGAGGCTTTCGACGTATCGCCCGCCACTTACTTCGTTCAGAGACTCATTCATTTCATGTAACACATGTCGCAACCGTTATTCGCATGCTGTCTCAATTAGTATAGGGGTTGATAATGCCAGCAATGATGAGATCGAGATCATATGCGAGCGAGATCGAAAGCGAGCAGTGATAACATGATGCCCCATTGAGCTTTACGAGAGACGTCTCTGGAACCGTCTTCAGCCGCGCCTGCCAATATTCAAGTCCATCCGGCGGGCTGGCTACGAACCCAATGGCAATTTCGGCAATGCATACCTCACCATCTCAAAGGGTCTCGACCGAGAAGCGAGAGACAACAGGTGGAGGGCGTGGTTTGCCTTACGAAACAAACACGCATGCAGAGTGGTCCAGACTCCCTTATATGGAGAAGTTCTGCTCACCCTGTCCATTTGGTACGGCATTCAGGACCCCTTCATACCGGATAAAGCGGCTAAATTTCACCCATCTAGACTCATGGCATAGGCATCCTAATCGACATAGGTTAGCCTTTCGGGTCGACACCGTCTCCACTCCGGATCTCGGGGCCCGGACAGCTTCCGAGGACCGAAGTCTGAAAAGATGGCATTCTGCCCTTTTCCCATATCGAAGAGTCATCCGAACTCCGCAATAATTGGAGTCGAGCTCTGTCCCGAGAGAAGCAATGCCGTTCTCGGCATGTGGAGTAGTTCCAAGGAGGCGGGATACGCTTGGCCTTGCATATTTTCCTAGTGTCGGTGTATTATCACTAATCGCTTTTCAACTTGTAGACTCACGGTAAATCCCGTTCATCGAGTTTGAATCGAAGGGAGCTTTCTCGATTCATGGAATTTACGATTGCTGCAGGCCAGGCCAGCCAGGCAATGGGTAGCCAAGCCTTACCAGCCGCCTATGCATCCGGTGCCACACCTGATAAGCCTCGCCAATGACATGTTGTAATGCACAAGCGAGACTTGGTTTGGTCTCCTACGGCCGGATGCTCGTCTAATTTGCCTTCAAGCGCTGTGCCTTGATCCAGAATTGCGGGTGAGTATGTGGACAGATGCACCTTTTCGCTTCAAGGGTAATGGTAATCCCAATTCAGAGGACAAAGCCGAGGTTTACTGATAAAGTATTCTCTCGCCGGATACCTACCCAACCTACCCAACATCACCCTTGGCTCGAGTTTAACCACTATTTCTCCAAAGTCAAATTTGCCATCACGAACAACATTCTTTGTGAGACGATCCACCCCAAAATGCCCTCATAGTTCACGCCCAATGACGGCCAAGGAATTCAAAATGGCTGGGTGATGGATGCTCCAACGCTTTGCAAGCGAAAGTTGACGCTGATTGGCGGAAGGATCAACCCCAAGTCTGCATTACATTGCAATGTTGTGGAATAAGAAACGACCATATGCGCAACCAGAAATCTGCCGGACCCGAGCTGACCAGTGAAAAGGCCGTCGGCGTCCCGGCCGCCTCCCCAACTATTCCAAAGGGCCAAGGGCTACTTACCTTAGCCTACCGTAGATAATATGGACCTGGGATAAAGCTTCTCCTTCCAGTCTAGCTACTATCGTGCTTTGGAAATGCTTTGCTTTTGCCTGGGTCTAGCTTCTTCAAGTTCTTTCCACACTTGATGATGATGACGATGATGCTACTACCCCGTTCGCGGCTCTGCTATTGTTGACAGCCCAGCCTTGACAGCCCAGCCTTGACAGCCATGTTTCTGGTGACTGGCCGTAGTATTCGGGTTTTCCCGTTCTTGCAAGTATCATCTTAGGTTCCTTCTAGTGGCTTGGAATATGGGGCGGTAGAGCTTTCCTCAGATAGAAGCCATCACGATTCGCGGCATCTCCATCTCCTGCCCCACCCCATAGAATCAGAGCTCGAGCTGGATTCCTGGACAACATGAATTATCTGCTCAGACAAGATATGCCACACATACCAAGCCTTTCAGAAGAACACTTCTCAAGGTTCTCAAGGTTCCCAACAGTACAGGGGAATTTTCTCACCAACCACCAACGGCCTTACGGCCGGAAAGCTAGTCATCAGTGTATAATTCCGAGACCTGTGATGTTTCCAGAACCTTTTCGTTCACCCACTTGTCTCTACGGAGTACTGAGAGCCTAGAATATGGGCCGAGGTGACGAGTGATGGGAATCTTGCTTGTTGGCTCATCGAGAGCCGTGGGAAAAACTTTGATGCCGTACACATTATCCGGGAAAGTTCTCACCGAAAGTCGGACTATCTAACCTCCCCTACACATCATCAGGAGGAGTGGTAATGCCTTTCTCCCTGGCACTCGGACTTTTCATCCTCCACACTGGCTCACATATCAAGTATGCCAAGACGAGGTGATTTTTTATCCCTTGGGGGCGTGGTACCCAGATACATTGAGGTGATCTGCAATTAGAAGCTTCCAGGAAGTGCAAGTCTCTCACACCCTGGACAAAAGGAAAGATGGAAATAGAATATCGTCATCAGCTGAACACCGAAAATGTCTCTTGCTTCATGTCAATGAGTGTTGAGGCGGTCTCTTCGAGGATCTCTTTGCGATCTGAAACCCCAGCCATCTTGCCATCTTAAGGACCGACTATGATGAGTGAGCCTGGAAGCAGCGCTATTACTGCCTGATGGACTCATTGCTAGACTACTACCTATCTCTAAAGTAGTGCCTATAGTACACGGATGTTGAATATAAAAGGATGAAGCCCGCGTCAATAACCTAGCTTGCGGGTACACTAATCTAGGGTGCCTCGATCACGAGTTCGAAGTCGTCTTCGGTATCAGTCAAGGATCATGCGTACGTAACCATCCCCGGTTTCCTGCCTCGTGGGAAAGACTATTGCTGCTGATTCGTTAACATGTACCTACTTCTAGATTACGAAGACAGTCATTTAAAGTAGTCGCTAGCAGTTAACCCTGCTCCTCGTGTATTCAGACCTTGATACTCGAGAAGCATAGAGAATGGAGCAAAGACAGAGCCAATATCTCGTCTGTTGGAAGCCCTGCATCGGGTGGAAATCTCTACCATCGCCAGCTTCCACACCAGCGCGGAAGACCGAAAAGATGGATTTGTCGGCAAGGCAAGTATGAGAAGGCTTACAGCTATCACCTTCGGGCGTAAGATGAAATGTTCGTACTTCTCTACTCCTTAGAACACTGGTATCTAGTTATAGCGGCTGGTCCGTCTCCTCCCTGACTGCAACCATGAACTCGAGAAACCACACAATCTTATATATCCAGGATTGAATCGATGGACTTGATGACAGTGGGAATAACAGTCATTGGATACTTCTTTCTCTCCCGCGTCACATGGCTGAAATATTATACAACCACAAGCAGGCAAGCCAATGTACCTCTGCAAGAACGGCCTCGGCTGTTCAACGCCGTGATATTCTACCTGTCAGTTTACTCAACTGCATGCACTTTTATAGTACCTTACAGACAGAACAATTCAAAGTGAGAACGTTAGAGTATTCTAGTCATATAAATACCTAGATGAAACAAGGGCTCTCTTGCCTTGACTGCCTTGAGTGTATGTAAAAGTAGAAACTACCTCCTATCAACACAGAAGAACACAGTCTAGATAAATACCCTAACTAAAACCTGAAGATGTCCCTGGACTATCGCCAATCGTCTTGACGCTTTGGAAGCATGTAGACCTACCAGCTTCGAGATCCATCTCCGGATGGCAACTCACCTACGGCTCCCTTCTCCGTCCGATCGAACGTCCGACTCAAACTCACTCAGAGCATCCTCGACGAAAGCCACAACCTCGGCCATGATCTCCTCCCTAAAACGCACATACTCCGCCTCCCTCATCTCAGCATTTCCAGCCTCGACGACTATATCGAGACCGTCTCCTCCCTCCTTGACAGTAAGATCGTTGAATCGCTTGAAAGAGCGTAGGAAATCCTCCCACAACCCCCTTGATGGGGCGTGAGAAATGCTATAGGCGGCAACCTGTACCCGTCGGAACAAGTGCTCAGGGGAATCATCACCATCGTCTCGAAGATGATCATACCCGCTCATCATCATCCCAGCAGCGCCCGGAGCATGCGCAGCCCTATCTTCGTAGGTGACAATAACCCAGCACATGCACGACAGTACCTCCGACTGCGAAATGCCCAGATCCCTCCTGGCATTACGCGCCCCCTCGGCACACCCAGCGCCGCCGCCGTCGCCACCGCCTCCTCCTCCTCCTTCCCCTTCGCTTAGGCCTTCTTCGGCGAGGAGCTGCATGACGAGTATATACCATAACGTCCCGTAGACTTCATGATGCTCCTTCCATTGTTTCTGCACCTTGCCATGAGCAGATTGGATATTGGGCCGCTTCTGATCTAGGTTGCTTGAAATATCGACGAGACTCTGCCAGCACCAGTGTGCGCACTGCCTCAGAGTCGTGAGAGCCCTGGAAGTCTCAATTCCTCGATTATCGACGGATAGGACCCAGCAATGCATGCTCTCCAAGAGGTTGCCGAGGTTATCTCCTATATCCGGAAGAAGCGTGTGATACTTCTCGTTAACCGTATCCAACAGATGGAAAGCAAAGAGGTCGACAGAGCCGCCTTGCTTGAGAAGGAAGCCCTTCCCGTCCCCGGCGAGGATGAAGGAAACCGCATTTGCAAGCTTTTCTCCAAGGGGGCCATTCAAGGTCCACCTGTCGTGTTGACTCATTTCGTGGTTCATACTTTCCACGACATGAACGTAAAGCAGGGGCCAAAGGTCTGCACGGCAATCGCGAGGCTGCCAAGTCCAGGGGTCCAGAAAACCCAAAGTTTCCCGGCATTGTTCCTCAGTCTCGGCCGACCGACAGAGAGCTACGAGATTATTCGAATCTCCCATATTGTTGATAAAGCCGTTCCTGTATCGTTCCCAAGCGTAGCGACTGCCAGCAGTAGCGAAGATTGCATTTGCCTTTACTGCCTGGATGTCTTGGGTTATTCGATCGCCCATGGAAGAAATAACTTCGGATATGGGTGTGAGAGTGAAAGCATCAGTCGCCTCGTAATCGTCAATGTCATCTTGGACATAACCCGCGTACTTGGGGCCAAAGTCCTCACTGCTGACGACAGATTTGTCACCGTATGCACCGGCGTCTCCAGCATGTTCGTGCGAGTCTTCGCTGCCTCTGCCATACTTCGAACATTTCCAAAGGCCTAGTCTATAGACAAGTTGACGTTTACTGGTTCACATTAGCCTTGGAACAAGTTATCTCGAGGTACTGTTGAGGAAGAACAAACGTCACAACGAAGCTATGCTTATCTTTCAGGAATTTGATTACGTCTTCGAGGGTATTGTTGGTGTACTCCGTGGTGATAGACTCCCTCAAAATGTCCCATTGTTCCACGGGTTTCCGGTGCGCTCGTGCTTTCGGCATGTCAAGTTCGCCGGTGGTATGATTATGAGCCATCGTCGGTTCCCAAAATGGGTTCCCTAGATCTTCAACAACGAGTGGATAATCTAGCGCCATTGTGCACGAGTTTTGCAGTCTTTAACTAACAGATGATCCTCTCTGTCAGAAAGAAATGCCTCGGAGGGAGCCTACCTTACACGTACTCGAAAACGAAATTGAAAAAGCCCGACGAGCTTCGCCTTTTTGAGGCTTATTTCATAAGGCTCCCAGTCCGCGAACCAAGTACGTATTGGAAGTGAAATGTAATTTCGCGATATGAATATGCGAAGTACTTAGTTGCCCATCCAATCACCACTCGGCCATAGTTCAAAGTGCATTTTCCTGTTAGCACCGCCCGCCATTGGTTCAACAACTGCTGGCATTGTCATTTGCGAGTTGAAATTCCACTTCGGCTCAGCAACCATTGTATCAAAATACAAAAGCTGGGGTCATGCATGCGCCACGTCCAGCTAACGAAGTGCAATTCCATGAATAATCTCTGGCTATCTGGATATCTGAGAGCGGCTACTCAGCCAAACTTCGACTCCATGACTTTTCGTATAAAAGGTCGCCAGGCTCGGAGCCATAGAGCGGGTCTTCGCTTCACAGCCAAACCAGACACAACGAGCCTTTACAACTTGAACTCTTTGCTTGCGCCCACTCTGTGTTACCACTCAGCCACGGCATAACAGTACTTGCCGTACGCTATACAATATCCCCGTCACCAGGTCCAGGATGCCTTACTCCGAGCCCTCGGCGCCCACAGCCCCGAACACCCTGGGACAAGCATCGGCACACGGGCGTCGGAGACCGACCCCACTCCGAGAACATCGAAGTCAACACTTGGAGGCAACTTCATGTCATGCGGAATCAATGCATCCCGCATCACGGCCAACGCAGCGGCAAAGGGCATCCGACAGCCCCAAACAGAGTCCGACTTGCTGTACACACAAGACAAAAAAGGAAGAATGTAGCAGTGACACCATGCCAGGCCGAAGGGCAGCGATGAGTCTGCGTATATTGAACGACGCTGGAGACAAATATTTCAGAATTAAAAATAGAGAGCTGAATCCGATACGTGGTGAGCGGCTTTGCGGCCTTGTGCAATAACAGCAAATTGGAGACAGACCTCAGGGTCATTAGGGAAAATGTACAACACGACTGGTGCGAAGAAGGGGATTGTTGGTATAGAAGTTATAGGATGCCATGTGGATAGATACCTGGGTAGCATGCTATTCCAAAGAAGCTGTTTGCTTGCCGCCACGCCTCATGAAATCTTCAAAGTTTTTGAACCACCATCGAGATGGATTTACCAGTGTTCGCTTGGCCGACCTGAACATGGTGCCTTGCTTCCTGGCAGCCAGTCCGTAGTGGCCGTGCTGCAATTCTCAGACGGATTGATTCGCGGATGCTGTCATCGGGCGTGAGGGGCAGTACACGAGGAAGGCCAGGTGATGCAGGTTGGAGTGTGCCCCGCAATTTAGCCCACAGTCCGGAGGGAAAGGTGCGGTGACGTGGGGATGTATCGGCCGGGTAGAGGTACCTCGTCCCTGCTCGCGTCGGGGGGGTGGGGCTCTGGAGACTGGAGCTCAACGCCTGCCGCGTATAATTCCGGAACTGGAGGACGAGTAGCTTTGCATTGAAGCCATTGCCAAGAATAGAGCAAGTGGCATGAGATGTGCAGTGGGCTGAGAGCTGTTCTTCTCTCACGAGCTGTATCCGTAGACTCGTTAGTAACAAGGAAATTATACGTTGAAATCAGGCGAGAAAGCGTTTTTGCCGATCATTCTGCGTATAATAAAGCCTGTCCCGGCATAGCAGGAAGCGGTCTGGGGCCGGCGGGTTTAGTTGGGTTTGGCGGTTGGCAAGGTGGTGTGCTGAGCTACCCGCCTACCATAGCTTCCGCCCCTCGAACGGCGTACCGTTCCATTGGAGAATTGGATGTTGTGCGGGTGGGTGTGCAGCAGTCAGTCGCAACTTTCTAGATGCGATGGAAGGGATGCGTCAAGGCTGCATCTGTAGGAGGTCGGATTGGGAGTCGTTTGGAGAAGGAGGAAACGGCGCTCTACTCCTTACATGCGCAGGGCATTGCTTTCATCTGCTCCATCTGTTAGCAGCAAATCAGCCCAGGAAGGGAAGCTATGAGGTGATGATGATGGAGGGGTTATGGATAGAAAAGCAGGGGGTTCGTTCCTCGATGGACCCCAACGACTTGGGTCCGTACGAAGAGTCGGCATGGGACACCTTGTGGGCCTCAAAGTCTGTGGGAGGCGACAAATCGGGTTGACTGTTGTAATACCTATGCCAACTTGTCTAGAAGTGTGGTGTTGGCCTGTGGTCGAGCCGAAATGGGCGAGTAAGCCTCAGTGCGGTTTGGTTCTGAGCTATCATCGGGCCTAGGTAGCCAAACGAAACTCTGTCTCTCTACCTTGGTGACGGTCGATGGGCATCGGCGGCTCCAGCTCCAATCTCAGCTCCAACTCATGTAACCCAGTCGTGCAAGTGTTTGGAGATGAGTTGCGCAACGGGTTACAAGGAGGCAAATGCGGGAGGATATGTCAGTGCGAGACATGCACGCAGCACCCAGACGAGCCGCGAAGAGAAGAATAAACAAGGACCTGATGGAGAAGTTTAGAAGCGGGAAAGAGTGGCTCCTTGGCATTCAGGATTGGTGTGGGGCAGGGAGCTCTTGCCTCTGAGAATTGAAGTCGACGAACTTCAGCGACAAGTCGCGGCAAGTCGTCATACCTGTGCAAGGATGATCCAATCACGGATCGCCCCACTCCGCCCACCCCTGCCAGCCATAGGATCGGACTGAAGTCTGAAGGTGCACCTGCAAGGTGCCAAGGTGCCTCCACACTGCGCAATGCCTGCCGTATGCGTGTGTGCTCCAGCTTCACCTCATCTCTTTGCTCCAAACGACTCCTTTTTTGCCTGTTATTCCTTCCCAAAGACCATGGTCCAAGACAACTGAGGAATCCCTCCAGTTTCAAGCCGGTGCCAGGAAGGAAGCGTAGGCGGGGTTTCCAAAACCGACCTCTGGACTTTCCTGGCACACTATGATAGTGGCTTGTAGTGTTCGCCATCTTGGATTGCATCGACCGACCTTTTCCGCTAGCCTCATGCTGCTGTACCACCCCATCAAGGTAGGTACAAGAGCAGAAGAGGGTGGATGGTCTCAAACTTGGAGGAAGCTCAGAGTACTAGCCAAATAAGCCTACTCTCTCGACTTTGGTCATGCTCGCTCAGGGCGGTATCGTCAGCTCTGACGACAGCGTCGCTACAAACGTCGTCTCCAACCCCAGACCCAAGGTGTGGCTGATGCGGTCCGGATACAGCAGGGAAGAGCATCGGCCAGACAGGGTTGACAGGTCCAGATCAGCCCGTCTGACTATCCATGCATTGGCTGGCATGGCTGCTGCTCGCAGACTCCCTGTGTCATGTCGTTGAACCGCGAAACCGCAGGGGCGATCCCGATCCAAAGCGCTTCACGCCTGAGGCCATTTATTGTTCCTACCAATGCCTCTTGAGTTCTTCTATGGATACCTCAAGGTAGTGGGACAGCGCGGCTACCTGGTACATCTTCCTCATGTCTCTCCAAAAAGGATTATTGACCGAAGAGGTCACCCATTGACTTGCGCGCTGCACAAGACAGCCAATCGGTAGCAGCATCCTCTAGGCGCCAGCCCGTAGCCTACCTGATCAAGCGAGGCGTCCAAACAAATCCAAACAAGCACGCCCAGGCCATCCCATCTCATTTGTCCAATTGTCCATGTATCCCGCCCTTTCCAAGCTTTTTATGTGCACGTACACAAGGATGGGATCATGCTCAAGCACAGGACATGGCCATTCTTTTCCAAGCTACCTCACATATTGCCTTAAGTTAATGGGCTACAAGGCTACCTGACGTAGTGTAGATGCGCGTCGGGGACTGCTAACAGAGCTTGTTACTGTCCGTGAGCAATGTGAGCAATGTGAGTAAGAAAAGAGACGAGGAAGGAGGTGTGGCAGTGTGGAAGGGGCGCCGCCTCACCCCAGCCTGGAATCCATAGGTACCTACTGAGGTCCGCAGCCCAGACCGGAACGATACCTCCTCCCCGTCCTCTTGCCTCTGTATCCAGCCACACCAGCGCTGGTCGACGAGGACCGCTGCAGCAAGGAAGGAACCTCTCTCTGCATTCGCGTTAGTCGTTACACGCTAATGTATTTGTGCCAGCTGCTTTCCCCGCAGATTTAACGTCCCATCTACCAACCCCATGCTTCTTGCTTCCCGTCGTTTATAAGCCACCGCCGCCCTCCTCACCTCATACCTTTTTGCTACTTCCAAGCTTCTGCTGCCACCAACAATTTTCTGTGCAACACCAGAAAACTCGCAAATACCGCAGACTGTGTGGGAATCGAGGAATCAAGACCAGGCATTCATCATCGTTCAAGATGCCTACCGCAACAGAGCGCATTAACGCCTGTAAGTTACTATTCGCCTTGGAAGTGTGTAGCCATTCGTTTGTGACTGACCTTCCCTCTAGTGAACCCCTTTTCCAAGAAGGAGTCTCATACGGCCGCCTCGATCACCACCTACAAGGTCTTGACTATTCTGAGTTGGCTCTTGGCTTTTGTCGTCACTCTCTACTACACCTTCAATGAACCCACCGATGGCTTCACAATTCGGAGAAGAATTTGGGACCAGAACTACCTCTACCCCACTGCCTTCACTTTGAACTCCACAATCATCGACATCTACTGGTAAGTTCAGACTCGTCCCTCGAGACCATTCCATTTCTAACATCGTCCAGGCTCGTTCTCTTCATCCTCCAAATTGTCTATGTCGGGCACCTCTTCTCGAGCAACAGCGACTATGTCAACGCCGCTGCCAGCGTCGGGTCCCACTTCATCTTCAACAACCTGTTGCACTTCGCCTTTGTCATGTTGTTCGTGCGCTCCCACTTCGGCTGGGCTGAGTTCATTCTCATCATCAACTTCGCTAACCTGTCGTCGCTTTACTTCCGTCACAACACGTATCCTCGCTTCATCCACTGGCCCGTTGTTTCCGCTCCTCTGGCCTGGACATTTGTGGCCATCTACTGGAACGGCGCCATCATGGTCCCTCACCCCCACAACCTCGTTGCCCGCATCTTTGGCAACATCTTCGTTTGGTCCATTCTGGTTTATGGAGGTTTCTTCATCACCACCTACAAGGTAAGAACGAATACTTGCCTACTATGTGCCGAGATTCAAGTGACTGATCATCATTCAGGATTACACCATGGGCTTCTCCCTCAGCGTCCTGTCCGCCGCCCTTGGCGTTGCGCAGTTCGGTCGCCAAATCGTTGCATTCCAGTGGATTTTTGCCTTCACCATCATGGCTGTGCTGTTCGTTTCAACTCTCGTGATTGCCTACCCGGCCGCGACTGGCAAAGACTACCCCTGGAGAAGCCGCACTGCCGACTCGGAGCGCGCTCCCCTTCTTGCCGATGACCAGTAAATGCCATTGTGTTCGCATTGAAGCTCGTGACTAAAGTCTGCGCATTGGCGTGTCCTCGCGACAGAAGCACTCTTCACTACACGAGAGGAGAAGGCCGAGCTGAAGTGCGACTGGGAGTCACCCATGGCAGAGTCATGGGCGTCAAAAAGTTGTTTTCGTTCCGAGATTGCTGCGACAACTGATTTAATTTTTGGTATGGAATGTACGTGGCATTTTTCATGGCCATGCATGCGTAGCACTGCACGATAATTCCCCATGTTGTTATTCGGCCTAGGAAGGAGAGGACGGGGAGGGGTGACGTAGCGATGGTCTTATCGCTGTCGTTATCGCTCCCGAGCTTTGTTTATCGGTTCGAATTAACGTAGCTCTTAGCTGAAGGCGGAATGGGTTACCTTAGGTACTTCCCCGAACCCCTGGTAGTGGATCTATCAATTACCACTACCTATTACATGCTTGACTTTATGGATACCAATTATTACTCACCCGTTTTTGCTACCCCAAGCTGTTCATCATGCTGCCACCCAAGAGGTTTCCATTTCCCTTCAGACTAGGGACTGATATATGTCAAATTTCCCGCATCTACCGGATTCTGGCCAAAGACAAGGAGGCGAGATTTCTTCGTCGCATCCTGACTAAGAATGAGCGCCTCGCAATCCCCGCCTCCCTGATGTCGACTGATGCATCAGGGACGGCGGCCGAAGTGTCCAAAGACGACGACTTCCAGGCGTTGAAGGAGCGCAACCCGCTATTATGGAAGAAGGCTAGCTTCTTAGCTGGGAGGTACGTTTTGTTGGCCCGACTTGATCTTTCTACTTGGTCAATTGAAGAGGCTGCGGAAGCTCACATTTTTAACCATGTGCTACAGATTCGCAGCCAAGGAAGCGACATTCAAAGCCCACCCCACGAGGAACCTAACATGGCACGACATCACCATCGTCCGAAAGCGATTCGAGCAGCTGAGGGATATTGAAGGGCTAAAGAATACCAAGGCACAGGGAAAGGAGGAGAACAAGAAGGAGGTGGAGGAGGAAGAAGGACTGAAAGCAGTCGAGGGCGAGGCAGAGGAAACCAGCAGCACAACGACACCCGCAGACGACGAGTTCACCAACAACGGAAGCGGTCCGCCCGTCGCTATCGTGCGCAGCAAATGCGATGACATGCCCGACCAGGAGGTGCTCGTGTCCATCAGCCACGACGGGGACTACGCCACGGCCGTCTGCATTGGCTTCCCCCGCGAGGAGGCACTCGCCCACGCCGATGGCCTGGGCCCCAAGGAGAAGAAGGGCCCCAGGAAGAAGCATGAGCGTCGCGTGCGCAAGGTTGAGGATACGGTGGAGGATCAGCTGAGTTATAAGGAGTTCAAGGAGTTCAAAGAGTTTAAAGCCTGGAAGGTGAGGGCCGAGAGGAAGGAGGCTAAGCAGGCTAAGGGGAAGGATGGAAACGACGGTGTTGCGGAGAAGACCGAAAACGTCACGGTTTGAGAGGGAGAGTCATTGACAAGAGAGACTCCATGTATATCAAAATAGGAGAAAAGGTATGAATATGTAAAAGGTGGCGGGAGTAAATACCATGTTAACATGTTGTAGTATTGGTTCTTGTACTTCTTTAAAGTGCCACGAGACCGTAAGAATATATCAAAGAACCCAAGAATACAGGATCCTAACCCGACATTCTAACCCCATCACCTTTTGCAAGTACGAATGTACTAACAAGGCTCTCGTCTCGTGATGGTGTAGATGTGAAGATTCGGGACAGGCGCCACTTTGTCTAATTGTTTTGATTCGCGAATTTGGAGTTTCTTTAACCCTTTTGGATGTAAGGTTTCTGTCTTCACGGAGTGCCATTCATTAGGGCACACATATAATAAAGGTATCATCAAGCCTCTCCAAGATGTGGTACGTGGCATGTGTTTTCGTCATTCTAGAGACGAAATGTAACCATGTCCATGTGCCCATGTTCACCAACTGCACCCACCGTGCAAACAAGGCTTCACCAGACCTGGCGCGCTATACTTCACCTGGTTTTCCGTTCCCTCTGTCTTTTCGAATATTCTCTCTTTTTTTCCCCCTCCTTCTTTCTGCCTCTTTTTCTTCCGGCCCTCTGCCTTGAGCAACTCGCCTCAACGACAGCTTCCTACCTACACCTTCAGCAACCTCAAGGACCCAAAACAGCTCCACTGAACCCACCCACCTCAGGATGTCAGCGAGGGGCAGCATGCACGACAGCGCCCCCACCAACACAAGCAAAAGCTCCACTGAACGCTCCACTGAACACAGGGCACACGCAGCACAGCACAGCACACAGGCGGCCCCCCCCAAAACCCCAACCAAACGAAACATAGGCCTCAACCTTCGCCCCTCGCTTCAACAGAATAGATCCTGGCAGGCCGGCTGGCCTAATGGCTAAGGCGTCGGATTCCTATGAGGAATACAAACTCATCCGAAGATTCTGGGTTCGAGTCCCAGGTTGGTCGTCGGTAATCTGAACACAGATTACGAGTGATTCTCTTTTAACTTTTTGATTCTCTTTTAACTTTTTTTCGTTTAGCTGCCTATTTTACCTTGCCCTCTACGACGATGTTCCTCGTCTCTGCTCTTTTTTTTCCCCTTCCTTTCTGGTCTTCTTCCTCTTCTTCCCCCCTTGGTTCGCGTCTTAATTACTCCGTGTTCTGAGGGTGCCTGCATGCATTGCGATACGAACTCAATCCAGTCCTAAACTTGACATCGACTTCAACTTCAAGCTTTGTACAATGTACCTCTTATGGGTATTTCTAATGGGGGTTTGCAAGTACTGCATCCGTCGCTCACATAAAATCGTTGCCGAGTGTTCGACAGCTGAGAAAGATTGCGCCTTCAAGGTGCAAATCATCAATGCCAGACAAAATCCAAGTCTCGCGCATTTATCAATCGAGCCACCACCAAAATGACAATAAGCAGCTGCCAAAAGTAAAGAAAACAGTCTGAGATTTGGGGTATCAGTGTATAAGTAATGTCTGTAACAACAACGCAACCCACCCCATTCCCATCATTCTCCATGATTTCCACACCGATTACTACGCCGGATTCTTCTTCTTCTTCTCGAGGCGCAAGAAACATCAGCAATGATGCCCCACACTCTAATAACTCGCAATCAAGACGGCACTCTCTGCCCCATTCTCTCTTGACACAAAAGAAAATCCTTTAAATCGGGAACTGTCAATGTCCTCTATTCCTGCCCTTCCACAAACCCTCACTCCCCCAGGCAGAAGCTCACTAGGCCTCAACCATGAGCTGCTCACCTTCCTCCAACAACTCCGTCACCTTCTTCAAGTTACCAATGAGGCTACGTCCCAGACCGACCAGAAGCAGCTTCTCTGCGTTGGCGGGTAGGCCGAGGTACGTAGGCGGCTCGCGCTCCGGTAGCTTGTGGATCCAGGCCATAAAGTCTGATAGTGAAGTACCCGATGGCACGATGAGGCTGCCCTCCTGGTTCTCCGTGCCCTCGACAAGCTTGTGTCCGACGTCGTAGGCGGACGGCGTCAGGAACGAGTGCACCAGCTGGTTCAGCTGCTTGAAATCTCCCTCATTGTCAATCTTGCCTCCGTAGGTTTCCGTGACGAGGTAGCGGATCATCTCCCAAGGGATGCTTTGAGGTGCAATGTTCGTGCGGGTACCAGCGGCGTTCTCGATCCAGGTGTCAATGATGAATGCAGAGCATTCGTACTGAGCATGTTAGCTTGTGCCTCAGGTACTACAAGCTTCGCTTGGTTTAGAGAAAAACTTACGTCACTGTCATTAAACTCCCAGAAGCCCTTCCATCCCAAGCTCGGGGCATAGCGCAGACGCTCCTGAACGACTGCGTGCAAGAAGGCAAGCAGCAGATACAATCTCGTACGCTCGACAGGTGCCTTGGCGCCTCTGGTAGACAAGGAAGACATGGAGTCCTTCATATTGGCGCGCACGCCGGCGGGCTGCTCGTACATGAGTACTCTGGAAGCGCGCAGCAAGTTGACGGGAATCTTGGGACTCGACTCCATCGACAGGAAAAGGCGGAATTCCGAGTGGGGGTTGAGTGACTCCATGCGCTTCTCGAGACTCTGCAGCCAAGTAGGTGCGAGATGTACGTTCTTGACCAAGACCCAGTTGCCCAACTGCGCGGCATTGTTGATGGCCTTATCAGCACTCGCGAGACCCTCGTTGGAACCCATGGCAATGTTGGTGCACTTGACGCGAAGCCTCTCAACGAGATTGTCCACCTTGTAACTGGCATCGAAACCAGGGCTGGAGACCAGAGAAATCGGTCTGGTGGCGGGAACCTGGCTCACCGTCTCCTTGAGATCCTCGACGACGTCAAACGTGTCTGAGCCAAAGACCAAGGTGACGAATCGTTCGGCAGCGGGAACGAAGCGATCAAGGCGGAACAGCTTGACGAGAAGCAATGATTGTAGAGCCTGGTCAAAGGCCTCCGTGCTGTCGTCCCAGATCTGGGGAACAAAGTTTTCGGCAAGCTCCTCGGTCAGGAACTTGTCCCAGTCGGCAGACGAAACAGCGCCAAGCTTGTCCTTCAGCACACTCATACGACCAGCTCTGGTGAAGGCCTCCTCCTTGGCGTCCTTGTCGGTGGAAAGATCCTTGCCTTCCACGCGATCATCAAGGATGATGTCGATCAGCGTCTTGTCCATCTTGTACGGCGAAGCCTGCGCAAGCAGCATGGCCAGCGTGATCCGGTCTTTTTGGAGCAGGCCGAGCGCAGTCCGCTTGAAGGCGGTGATGAACAGGTCCTTGACAATAATGTCTCGCCGAATATTGTGGTTCGTCTCATTGGCGAGGTTCTTGTTACCGTGCAGGACAGAGTGGAAGATGTCGAGGAAGTACTGCAGGGAGAACTGGTAGAAGTGGTTGAGGTAATGGAGCTGCTCCAGTACAGCAAACACAGTACTGCAGGAGCGGGCAATGATGCTGTACTGCTGGGTAATCTCTTCGACTTCTGCCATGACGCCCTCGGTGTTGCTCATCTTGTCTGAAATCTCCGCAGCCTCCGTCTTCAAGGTCTCCAGGGTCTCGATGACGTTGTCGTCGTCAAGAATGTTTCCGCGAGACTCGTTGAGAGCTTGCAAAAGACGCTTCTCCAACTGTCGCAGATGGATCTTGAACTCTCCCTGGAGCTTGATGAGGTTGGATCGCCGTTCGTCGACATCCGGTCTCTCAGACTTCAGCACGTCATTAAGAGACTGGGTCTGCAGACTGCTCTGGGTGACCGTGAAATTGACAAATGTGGTCCGAGAGCAAATGTCGGGAGCAAAGGTTGCCGACGGGTCACGGGTCGACAGGTAGATCTTGAAGGACGGCGAGAAATCAATCTGCTGCTTTCCAAGCTGGATGAGGACACGACCACCAGTCTTCTGGTATTCCTTGTTGAGGACATGGTTGAGGATGGGATCAAGGTACTCGGCATCCTGAATGAGAATGGGGTTACCGAATCGAAGGGAACTCTCCAATTGCTTGGTGAACGAATCATCCAAGAAACTGGTGACCGTCAAGCGACGGTCCTTGCTCTCCTTCTGCAAGAACTCAGTGACTCTGCCGGAAGGATCGATAATGAGAGGGTAGCGGTTGAATCGCTTGAGGACGATGGCGTTCTCCGTGCACAGATCATCGACCGGCAGGCTGTTCTCCTGCCAGCTGAGGCGCTCATCGGCAGTCGACAGGTATTCGGTGACTGGGTTGTGTTGCTTGTATAGTACACCGGATAGCTGCAGCTGGTGCAACCAGTCATCCATCATGGACTTTCGGAAAGTCTGATCGTAAAGACCACTGTAGGCGAGGAAAGCAGCCGCGACAAGGACATCGCCAACGAGCGTGCTGATCTGGGTCTCGAAGGACTTGCTGCCCTCCTCCCAACGAACTCTCTCAGACGACAGACTGTCGAGCAACTTGACACTCCTGTCGACCTTGAACTGGACCTTGGACATCTCAGACTTGATGGCTTGCGTCTCGCTGATGAGTGCAGCGTACTCCGTCTTGTACTGTGCGATACTAGACTCGAGGGTGTTGATGGTGTTCTCAACAGCCTTGGCCTCCGCCTTGGTCTGTAGAGCGGTCTCCTCGAGAGCGTCGACTTCGTCCCTCAGAGGGCCGACACGGTCGAGAATCTCAGAGTACAAGACCTGTGCCTCAACCCATTGTACCAAAGGACCACAGGCCTTACTGGCGCGGTTGACCTTGTCGAAGGTGAATTCGGGGATCGACAAGAAGTCATTGCGCATCTTGGTACGCAAAGCCTTGGTCATTTGGCGTTCGTTGTCAAAGTTGACAATGCTGGCAATGAAGTCGTCACGACGGATGATACCTTGGATCGTTCTCCAGTCGTTGACTTTGTGGCCAAGTAGAGCACAGACAGACTCAAGAGCCAATCTGACACCCTGGGGCGGGTTACCCATGGATCGGACTTCGGTGAGATGTTGACGCTTGATGTTGCTAACGCTGGCCTTGGCCTCTTCAACGGCGGGTTCAGCCTTTGCAAGGTCCTCCAGCACAACCGTTCTTCGCGTGGCCACCTCGGCCTCTTGTTTCTCGAGCGCGACTTGAATCTCCAAGGAAGTGTTCTTTCTCTGTTCAGCCTCTCTCTGGTCTGCAACCATGCGCTGCAGTTTCTCGTTGGCCTCGGCGTCCTTCTTCTCTAGCTGTGACTTCTTCTCGGCAAGACTGACCCTCAGATCGCGAACCTTGTCGACGGTGTCTCTAAGCTTCTCAAGACCAACGTTGAGATGGCGTTGCTGCTCTTCCAGATCCTCACGCTTCTCATTGTAGAGCTTGACATACTGCGCAACGAAGTCCAGGAAGTGTCTGGGGGTAAGGAAGGTAACCTTTCCTTGCTGCTTGAAGAGTTTGGTGTTGAATCT